GCAGTGGCGGGGGGAGGCGGGAGCCCCCCTGCAGCCGAGGGAGAGTTGCACCGAGGTGGCTGTAGTCGCTGCTGCGATTGGGAGAGGCAAAGCGGCCGGAGCTTGGATGCAACTGAGGAAAAAGTCCCAAAGTGAGCTTCTAGAAATACTGACTTCTCCAAAGGACGCGCTGAAACGGATTCACGTAGGAAGAATATTAGCCTGAGTGCATTTCATAAAGCTGTCCATCCTCAGCCAACCTAAAAGTAGACGAGTTGGGGGTTGCAAGCCAGCACAGTGTTTTATACACCTCTCACAGCCTCGAGTCGTGAAGTGAAGTACGTGTTATTTTGTGAAGGAAACCGTAGGGAAGGAGTCCTGGAAGGCTGCAGTACTGATCTAATGGGAATGCAAGTTTCCCCAAACTCAGCTTCAGACCTGGCACGCTGCGTTAATAACGAGACTGATTTAAAACTGGTCTGATCAGACTGAGGCACATCTTGAATACAGATGCGCTTAAACTGGCTTAAGGTGCTAGAGTGATTTATTTAATGCTCCATTAGGCTGAATTGGTCTGTGTGGTTTCTAAACCACTTTACAATTGTATCTGCTAGGGTTTTGTCCCAGTCTGACTGGATGAGATTTAACAACAGTGTTTTCTGCCTTAGAATAAACTGCGCCTAAGACAAGCACGGTGTAGAACAGCCCGTAGCGGCGCAGGCTGAGCTCAGCTGAGCGGTGCTTGCTGCGGCATGCTTGTGGAGGGGTCTCTGCCTCTTCCCTTTAGCTTCTCCCACTGATTCTGCAGTTCACAGCCAGTTGGTATTGGCTGTTTCGAAAGAGCTTTCAGGTCTTTTTTTTTCAAACCCCCTTCCCAACCGTGTTCTCCAGCATCTCTAAATGTCTATCAGTGCTTATCGATTAGCTTCTCTTCCTATCACAAAGTAGCTGCTGACGAGGAGAAAAATAACATGTCGCTATTCTTATTAGTTTCCAGGCACAAAGAGCACAGTGGTCAGTGTATAAACGCGGCGGGAACCTGCTAAATATAGAAATGGGGCTTTAGACAGCTCTTGATTCAAGTTGCTTCGGTTTCAGTGTTAAGACACTGGTATGAACACGTTGTTTAAATAAGACGCCTTATCGCATCCTGGCTCTCTGCAGCTGCAGTTTAATTCTCAATGTGCACTAAGCTCAGCTCAAAGGTGGGGCGTTATTTTGCAACTCCCATCAGTACATTCATACGCTCCAAAGATAGTCCCAAGGTGGCATCTGATATGATCGTTAGCAAAACAAGTTATCTGTTATGTAAAGATCAAACGCTGTGTGAGTAAAAGATCTGACAAGCACCTAGTTGTTTTCCATAAGAAGTGTTGCCCTCCGGAAACTTAATAATTATTTGATTGTTATGATGTGTGCCTTCCTACACTTACCACAGAATCTGCACAGCGAATGCATTTAAAGCGCGAGCGGTTTATCCTGTCCAAAACCAAAATTATGTAACCTTTTCCAGTTCCTTCAATGGCTTTTGGTCTAGAATGTGCTTTCCTGTAGTTTGTAAATGTTCTCACCGTGTCAGAGTGAGCACCCATCAATAGAATTTAAGTGTGAATGTTTGGTTTTAGGCACACGAAGCCTCACATCACCAACAGCAGGCAGCACAGAACAGTTTGTTGCCTCTCCTGAGCTCTGCTGTTGAGCCACCCGATCAGAAGCCGATTCTGCCCTTACCAATAACGCAGAAACCTCAGCCTGCACCAGAAACATTAAAGGATGCTATTGTTGGGATTAAAAAGGAAAAACCTAAAACCTCCTTTGTGTGCACTTACTGCAGCAAAGCTTTCAGGGACAGCTACCATTTGAGGCGTCACGAGTCCTGCCACACAGGGATAAAGTTAGTGTCACGGCCAAAGAAAACTCCCACCACAATGGTGCCCCTTATCTCGACCATCGCTGGTGACAACAGCCGAAGTTCATTGGTTTCAACTATCGCAGGCATCCTGTCCACAGTCACTACGTCTTCCTCAGCCACCAACCCCAGCAGTAGTGCCGGCGCAACGGCTATGGCAGTGACTCAGACGGTGAAGAAGCCCAGCAAGCCCGTTAAGAAGAACCACGCTTGTGAGATGTGCGGAAAGGCCTTCAGGGATGTCTACCACCTCAACCGGCACAAGCTGTCCCACTCAGATGAAAAACCCTTTGAATGTCCAATTTGCAATCAGCGCTTCAAGAGAAAGGATCGCATGACCTACCACGTGAGGTCTCACGAAGGTGGCATCACGAAACCATACACCTGTGGTGTTTGTGGAAAAGGCTTCTCGAGGTACCATGTAGAAAATCCCAGGCGAGCTCAAGTATTGGCTTTTCATAACCAAGAAGGGTTAAGCTATCATAGCGAGGGGCTAGGAGAACCAGACATCTTAGAAGATTGGTGAGGGGATAAAGAGCCTTTTTTTACCTCTAGGGCGTGGGTCTCGATCCGAGCCAGATTGGCAGTGGCCAAAAGTGGTGGTCGCTCTTTAATGAGAATGTTTTGAAATGATTTTGCGACCTCATCCAGGTCCCGTAGGACACGTGTCTGTGTCACTGGTGGTGACCACAGAGCCCCTTTACCAGCCTTTGCCGAGGTCAATGACCGAATGGGGCACGGCAGGCAAACCGTCTCCTTGCCTCGGAGCAAGGTTGAGGCGTACTGACAGAGCATTGTGGGGGAGCTTGCATTGCTGCTGGCTGTATTTATATCTGTGCTTGCAACAGAGAAAACTTCAACCTTTAGAGCTGTTGATCTGTCACCTTTACACAAGGTACGACCAAACGTACCATTTCCAGGTGTGTGTGAAGAACACGGTTAAGTTTTAAACCGCAGGTTGGGTCTCAGCGTAACTATGTGTTACTCTAGCCGAAAGCCACTGCGTAGGTACGGGGAACGTATTTATTCTTGCCGTGCAGAGGGATGTGGGCTGCGAGGGGTCATCAGCGCAGTGTTCAGCACCGCTAGCCAAGGTGTCGTTACTATGTATTTGTAACAGTATGCATTTTCTTTTCTGTTCCTCTCTTTTTTTTTTGCAGGCCTGATCATTTAAGCTGTCACGTTAAACATGTTCACTCAACAGAGAGACCCTTCAAATGCCAAGTAAGGGCTAAAATGATTTATTAAGAACAATATGTTATTGTATCGTTAGAATCTCAGGTGAATAATCTTTCCCGAACTGTATTTGCTCCTGGATTTCTCTTTGGAAAGCAAGTTTAGGAGTAAAGTTGCATCTGCCTTACATACCACCAGCACTGTAGTTCTGATGTAAGTGTAGAGGCAGTTTAAAAGGATGCTGTGGCTACTTTTTTAGGAAGATTAGAGGCTTTTTGCTTTCTCGGAGAACAACATAGGTGCACTGTTTTACGGTATGCTTAACTTAGTAGTAGGATTGTGACAGCGTCCTCAGCTCAGTGCTGATTACTGGAGTAATGTGTGCAATGTGTTTCTCAGCATATTTGAGTTAAATGTGTTTCTCAGTATATCCATTTAAAATGGATTGGAATAGTTGATTCTGGATCCGTTATTTCGCTGGAAGGTGAAAGCAAGTTGTCATAAGTTGATGACTGAGTATAAGAGAAATAGCGTGACCGCCCTTGAACAGTTAACTGTTTTGCTTGGAATATCCATGCTTGTTCCAGCCGGTGTTTTAGTGACTCATCATATTAAGTAGAAGTCTTGTGTAAAAAAAAAAAACAGCGTTAGAAAAAGGTTTTGTTTCCTTGTTCTGATTTGGATGGGAACAGAAGTACTTGAGCAACTTCAGATACCAAGTTCAGATTTGTGCAGTCAAATTGTTATTAAAAAACAACTTTGCCTGTTCTAGGTTCTTGTTATAACCTACCTCTTGTTTTGGTAGGTAATGCAACTCCCTGTTTTAAGAAAGTTCAAGTAGTACAGAGTATGATTTTTGTCCTAGTTGTCTCAGAAGCCAACTTCTATTTTCAGTCTCTGTTTAGTAGTTTGATTTTGGTTTCTCTATAAATACAGGTAAAACTTAAGGTTGTCAATATCCTTAGGATACTGTTTGCACCTACGAGGTAAAATAGGCTTACAGTGGGCATGTAATTCATACTGTAATGATGCTGTCTGCACTTCAAGTGTAACTGTTGTCCTTCATATAGACGTGCACTGCTGCCTTTGCCACCAAAGACAGACTGCGGACACACATGGTGCGCCATGAAGGAAAGGTATCGTGTAATATCTGTGGTAAACTTCTGAGTGCAGCATATATCACCAGCCACTTAAAGACACACGGGCAGAGCCAAAGTATCAACTGTAATACCTGTAAACAAGGCATCAATAAAAGTAGGTGAACGTTTTAAAAACATTTCTAATAACAATGTGTTTGCAAAGGGAATTGCCTTTGATTACGTTAAAATGCAAAAACATACCCATCAGTCTGGGTATTCACACCTATTAAAAATAGATATTTGATAACAGGATCTTCTTCAGCTCAAGAAATTGGCATATGTGGAATTAGTTTGCTGCTAGACTGTGCTCTTATCCCTTAGGAATGCCCTGCCGTTTGTGAGAACAACCCATCTCTTGAAGAAAAGAGTTCCCAACTTTTCTCAGCTTCTAAGTACAGTGCTACTTCCTGAACTGTACAGGCCTAAAAGTCCAAGAGATAATTCTGGAGATTTTAGAATATTTAAGAACTGCTAAGATCTGCTGAGTTTCAGGTTTGAAGCCTCATTTAAAGCTCGTCAAAATTAGGAGAAAGATTTCTCTGCTTTCTCTGAGCTTTGGCCCTGGGGCTCAATGATTCCTCCCTCTGGCAATAGCTGACAAGAAGAGCATTTAAATCCAGCCCTAATATGTTTTGGGCATTAATGGCATTTGACTGGTGGTGTGCAGGATTTCAAATGAGTTGTTTGTAATAGTTCCTTCTAGTCTTAAACTCTGTGGAAGTGCTGAAGCCCCAACCTGAGAGTGCCCAGTAAGCAAACGAAGACTTGACTTTCAAATCTCCCCTATTAAGATACCTGTAACTTAAGTTAGCCTACGTGATTAGTGATGTAAGGTGGGTTTTCAGAGGAATCAAGAGGGAGAAGTAAGGAATGTCTTCGGAAACTTTGTCCTTAAAGCCTTTTAAACAGTATTAATTTACATCTTTTCAGTCCCTGTTACTCCTGGATAATTTGAAGGTACCAGGAATGTCTAAAATGCCTGATTGTTGAGCTTAAGATGAAATTTGGATGTGAAGTATTTTTCAAGGTATAGGGTTACAGCTCTGGCTTCCAAAGCCAGTTCGGTGGTGCTAAGCCAGTTCACGTGGGGCATTTACAGCAGTTGTTAGAGGTGGAAATGATGAGCTGTAATGTGGCCAGAGAGCAGTAACATGCTGTTCTGTGATGTAAAGGTAAACTGAAAATTTTAAGTCATACTTGCAATAAAAAGTAAAAAGGCTTTTTTTTTTTTTTTTAACTGGAGCTGAGGCTTAGAAAAAGTGGAATCAGCTAAGCAGCTTGAATTCTAGAGACTCATTATAGGCTTTTATTTCATTCTTCCTAAAAATACAAACAAAATAATCAGAAAGGAATTTCATTTTTGGCAGTGAAAGCAGATGTTCCTGACTTACAGTTTGTTTCTTAGATCTTGGAAAAGTAGTTTTATAAAACACAGAATTAATTATATGTTTTTAAGCACCTCTGTGATTTTTGCTCTTGGAATCCTGCGAGATTCCACACACTCTTTATGGAAGAAGCCTTTGTCATCTCAGCAGAAAACAGAGTAACTTTTCAAGGTGAATTTGTGTTCTTACTTAATTGGCATAGCATGCATGAGTGAAGAGACCAGCAATCAGAAGCAGCAACAGCAGCAGCAACAACAGCAGCAACAACAACAGCAGCAGCAGCAGCAACAACAACAACAGCAACAACAACAACAACAGCAGCAGCAGCAGCAGCAGCAGCAACACGTAACAAGTTGGCCCGGAAAGCAGGTAGAGACCCTGAGATTATGGGAAGAGGCCGTCAAAGCACGGAAGAAAGGTAAAACAAAACAATACTTATGGTCTTGGCTTTATAAGATACTGGAGTTTACAGTTATCTAGGGAGTTTAAGATGTCAGGAAAGGATGTCTTACATGAAAGTTTCATTCTCGATGTTAGAAGTAATAGCTAAAAACTAGCAGGAGGATAACATGACCAAAATTACGCTGTTGGAAATGAACTCCTCATTACTTGTTTCCCTTTGGTCTCTGTGCTTGAATGTGTATGTAGCAGTCATCAATTATAAAGGGATGTTTGTGTCTGCTCCAAGGCAAGAGTGTGTTTTTTTGACTTGCATGTGGTTTTTAGCTGTGTTTATGCATATTTACCAGTTGTTAACTTGTGTGCATATATATATATGTATATATACACACATACAACCCCCTCTGTCGTTGCATCATCATCAGTTTGCATGTGGGTGCTTTCTGTGTCCCTTTCATCTTTCCTCTCCCAATTTATTCCGTTCGCTTTATCATCACGTAACTGTCTTTGCATCAAGTTTTCTAGAACTCATAGAAATTAACTCTTCTATCTCTTTGTTGTTTTTTTTTTCGTTACGAAATTAACTAATAAGTGATCGTGTTTTTCATTATTGCTAGCTCACAGCTTACATATACCTATGCTACTGTAATTGAAGTGGAATAGCTTCCTATTGTTGGTCAGTGTGTCAGTTTTGTAAAGAATAGATTGCTTCAGTTTAGTTAGGAGTATAGCAGTTTAAAGTCTCCCGTTACTGCTAGCTTATTCTTTTCACAGCAGTTTGATTTCCAATGCCTATCATGTGACTCTCGTGGATTACATGTTTTAGGAGAAATTCTTAGTGACCTCTTACTGTTTTTCACTAGCTGTTTTTAGTAATAAATGTTTTTGACTCACCTTATTTTTTTTTCTTTTCTCCTGAACTTCCTTTCAGTTTCTTAAATCTTTTTTTCTTTTCTAGGTCTTGTTTGTATATTAGGCTGCTAGCTCCTTTCGCCTTGATTGTTATTCCAGTTGAATTGAATTCTGTGATCAGACAGTATAGAAACAGCTTATTCATGTTAAAATGTAGTGATAACAGAAACATTAAATATCATCAGACCGCTAAGCAGATAAAGCAAATGGGTGTCAGATTTAGAAAATCTCTTGAGAATTTTTTTTGTCCTGCTTGTTCCTTCCTATGTCTTGTTCCCTCTTCCCTTCCTTTCTTATTGAGATTATTGAATATGCTTTAACAGAAACTGGTTCGGGACAGAATGGTGGGTGAGGGAGGTGGGTGGGTAGAAGTGTTGTCAGATTGATGATATTAGCTTAACTTGATTGGGGAAGGGGCACGGGGTGGGATGTGTCTTTGCGTATTACTGTGCTTGGAAGGTGAAGCTAGACCAGTCAGTGCCATGCCTATGTGCTACTCTTTCCATGCTGGTTCTCCTGTGCTAGTGCCACCAGTTGCGTTGGCTTTACAACACTGGATGGGATTTTTTTTTTAGTCTAATATGATTTATTTTCACAGTTTGTTTTGTTTTTTTTTTTTTTTTTTCTTTTTCCCTTCCTTTCCACCCCTCCTAGATATGGACTTTGAAGAACCAACAGTAACCCTTGAATGGGGCTAATGTTGCTTTCAAAGTTAACTCTGTCTTGGTACATTTGTATTGCCCGAGTGGCAAGAGTGGACTCTTTGCTCCTGGCTTACCTCCTGAAACGTGGGTGTAGACTGAGCTTGGTGTCCTACCCTACAAATGTGGAATAAGACACGACTTAGAAGTGCCGTAATGTTGATCTAGAATATATTTTTGTCGGTTTCTCTAGCAGTCATCCCTTCCCTTTACCCGCGTCCACCAGCCCGCTTCTGGTTTTGGAGCCTTCTAGTATGGGTAGCCGGCAGGTGGTGCTGATGGATGCCTAGTGATCCCTCCGCCGTCCCGGACACCGGTGCCCGCTCCCCCAGTGCCCAGCCCTGCTAGAGCCCACCGGCAGCAGGGCCGGGCACTGGCCTCCTGGGTCTTCCTTGTTCGGCACCTCATCTTACTGCAATTAAAAAAAAAAAAAAAAAAAACCAAAAACCAAAACAACCCAAAAACCCACAAACCAAACCAACTTGGTGTGGAGCTGTAGCTTATGTGAAAGCTGAGGAGATAATGGGGGTTGAAAGATGTACTGACTGGGTAGCCTTGAAAACTGCTAAGTAGAAGTGCTGTGATCAGTGGAACAATTTAGTAGCAATAATTAAGACTGAAATAAGCAGGTAAATATTGAAACGAGCTTTGCTTATCAGTCCCTAATAATGACTTTTTAAAACCTTCACAGAATGTCAGTTCACCTTTGAGAAGGCTATAGAGTACGTACCATTCGGTATGTACACTCTCTCCTCTATTTATAATGTTCCTCTTGGGAGGATTTTTTTGATTGTAAGATACTGTTTTTATGAACATCGAAACCCTCTTTATAAGACAACCTCGCTTGACTTCTCAGGAAAAAAATGTTGAATTGAAATGAACTGCATGAGAGTTTGTATTTCTTGTAGGCTATAGAATGTTAACAGTTTTAACTTACTAATAATTCCTAAAGAAAATTATTCCAGAATTTGTACCTGTTCTTGTTTGGTTTTTGTTCTTGTTTTTTTTTTTTTTAAATCTTGTCCATGGTTTTTTATGTGTTAAAAACTTTTTGTCTTTTTATGTCTCATTTTTAGAAGCTGCTAACTTGTGCCAAACCTCCACTGCTGCTACTACGCCTGTGACTCTTACTACTCCATTCAATATAACGTCCTCTGTGGCTTCTGGGACTATCACAAACCCAGTCACAGTGGCAGCTGCAATGAGCATGAGAAGTCCAGTAAATGTATCAAGTGCAGTTAATATATCCAGTCCGATGAACCTAGGGCATCCTGTAACTATAACAAGTCCATTATCCATGACATCTCCATTAACGCTCACCACACCAGTCAATTTACCTACCCCAGTAACCGCTCCAGTGAATATAGCGCATCCAGTCACTATAACATCTCCCATGAACCTCCCCACACCAATGACGTTAGCTGGTCCGTTAAATATAGCAATGAGACCAGTAGAGAGCATGCCTTTCCTGCCCCAGGCCTTGCCCACGTCTCCTCCCTGGTAAAGAATTTCTAAACAGTATTAAAAAGGATTAAAATGGAATCCTTACCAGCAGTTCTTTTTTGGGTTTTGTTTGGTTGGGGGTTTTTTTTGTTGGTTTTTTTTTGTTTTGTTTTGTTTTAGTTAATAATAAATTCAGACTAAGACACTGGGGCAACATGCACCATCAGAGACCATAGTAGCATCTTCCCCTGTTGATTTGGCTCATATGGTTCAAACTTGAGTTTCACTGGAGCACTTCATTTAAAGTAAGTTTTACCTTTTAGCTGACTGATGCTGAATTAGAGCAGATACTTACTTGCCAGAGTTTTTTAAAAAAAAAAAAGGTCATTAAAAAACAGTTTTATGTTTTATCCCTCAAATTATAACTTAGGAAATTATTTTAATCTAAACACTAGCAAAGACCCCTCTGTTTCTTTAACAGGGTGGATGGCTAATTTTAACTTGCCAGTCGTTAAGTCCACTGTTTCTGAGCTAGTGTAGAATCTTTGTCTGTGTTGATGTTTTTTTTTTTTTTTTATGAGTAAATGCATTACAATGTTGTCATTGAAAAAAAAATGCATTTTGGAGAAAATATGCATTTTACCTTTGGGAATATGATAATTTCAGGCAGCATTCCCTATGGGAAAGGTGATACCAGCTCTGATATGCAAAGCATATGATAACTTATCATTCTAACTTCAACATATAATAGGGATTGTGACCTGATATTTGGAGATGTAAATATTACCCAACATATTACCCTAAGGGAATATAGCATTGTAGTCAACATTTTTTAAAAAAAAAACTGTTATTGTTTGGTGAGAAACAGCCATGGCTGACAGAAGAGGAGTCGAAATGTATGTAAACATGGTCTCTGAACAGTCAGACCCCTATGGGACTCTTATCTAGGAGCAAAAGGAGTGCTTTGAAACTTAAGAAATATTGCTTTAAGCTGGAAGATTCTGGAGACACTGGGTATGATTTTTATGCCCTCTGCCTCGCAATCAGAGCCTGCTGGTGTTACAGCAGGGGACAGACGTGTTAGTTGTTCACTAGAAGTTTTGTCTTATATTAAATTGTATACAGTTTTTATTCTAACCACTAACTAGGTAGGATGCCCCTCCAGGACAAGCAGAGAGCGTCTTTTAATTTCTCCCCTATTTCTTAATCAAGTGTTGTGCAAATCTGTTCAACTTTGTAAATATTTGCAAACATCATCATTTTTACGTTATTCTTCTATTGTGTTAACACATTTCTATCAATTTGTGGGAGTTCTGGGGTGATGGTTTGAACTATTCAGCCCAGAACTTCTCCACAAATGGTCACACATGTTTAAGCTACATGTGCTTTTTACTTCTTAACCTGTTTATCTGTACATAAAGTAGAAAGCAAAATCTAGGGAAACAGATATACTTTTTAGACTATCATGTCACATATTCACGTTTTTAAAACTTTGTTTAAAAAAAAAAACCACCACCCTAAACCCAAGACTCTACATTAAAAAAATAAAATAAAATTACAGTCGAGATGTTTTTATCTTAATGAAGTTGAAAGCTATGGAGATTAGCGTGTGCGCATTTTCACAGAGTGCTAGCAGGACTGACTAGTCAAAATGGACTGCTTCCGTTTCTACCCTGCCGTGTCAGTACAAGCAGTGACTGCCAGGCTGCTGGCTCAGGTGACAGGTATCTGTATCATTACGTGAAAACTGTTCTAGGGGCTTGGACTACATAGTAAAACAAAAAAAACAAAAAAAAAAAAAGAGCTTAGTGTAAAATAATTTTATAAATGATCTTTTGTACTTTAGGACATCAAATTGTACAACTTTTGTATATATAAAAGCTTAGGAACTTTCTGTTTAGCAGAAAGGAAACACATTCCTACACTTTTAATGTATATGTTTGTTATAATGTCCATGTAAACATATGCCCTATGTTTGTGCCTTTTAATTAGTTTGTCTCAATAAACAAAAATGTAGAGAAGAATATGTAGCTATGACTTTGTTACCACTGTTCTTACTCCAGATGTGTAGAGGTCTTCGTTTTTGCACTCTGTAGAGCATTGCGTGCAGACAGCTGCATGACTTAGGCTGATACGGCCGAAACGAGGCATGTGAGGCGAATGCACCCCAGCAAAACTCCTTCCTCCCGTAGCGTAGAGCAGCCCGCGCCGGTGGGGCGTTGCATGTTGGGATGTGTAGTTTCCGAGCCATCTCCGTTACCCGTGGCAATGATACCAACTCGCACCAGTTTTCCATGGTAGGCGTAGCGTTCTGGATCTGGGTAAATGGCAGAGATGACCCTTAGATGAAGTTTGGGCGTCCCTGAGCTTAAAAAAACAAGAGCATTAAAAGCCAATATGAAAATGTGTACTAGAAGTGGTTATCTATGAATGACTTACAATAAACAGGTGTGAGACTTAATTGTATGTTGTCAATTACTGTAGTATTGACAGTGGGTCCTTTGTACAGCTAGCCTGCCCTGCTGATGTTATTTTTATCCCAGCAGAGTAGCAGTAGAATAAACACATTAAACACCGGCAAGGAAATTTTTCAATCTGACAGAGGCTTCCCAAACCACTAACCGTGGTGCTCTTAGCATGGGATAGGAAAAGGGCTGTTTCCTTTTTATTTTATGTTGGTTCTGCTCGAATGTACCTGGTTTATGTCCACAAAGCTACATTAGCTAATTGTCAACCTGTTTCATTTGTACTTGGGTAAACATTTGCTTTGTACTGTGTATAAATGGTTCCGAGGTGTGCTCCTCAGCTGTCTCAATACGGACATTAATTTCACTTTGTAATGCCATCATACAAAATACATTAAGCTGTTTTTTGACAAACGAAAGCTACCTGGTCAAGTAGTTTATACGGCATGCATGCTACCTTACAGTCGCTGGTATGACGAGGCAATAAGGCCAGCTGCTGTCGGGAGACGATGTGTAGTCGCACGACAGCGATGAGGGATTTGTACGGCAACTCGTGTCGCTGCAGCCCTGGGAAGTTAAGACGATAAGAAAATGGTGGATGTGAAGAACAGATGCTCCTGTTACACCAAGTTAGTTTCTGTGCAGCTGATGCGCTTAGCCTAGTTTATTTCATGGAAACTTTGAAGCTGGATCTAGTCCAACATCCAGGGAAGCCTATTGCCGTTGATTCGAGTGGGTTTTATATCGAGCCCATTCAGGTCTCCGATTGCAAGCAGTTCAATAGGGGGGGTATTTTTTTCTTCTTCAGTTTCCATAAGCATTCAGCATTAGGTTCATGGCTTAGCACCGACTAACAGTTTTAAAGTTGAATTTTGCCTTGGAAGGATTTGTGCTGTGGGAAGTCAGAACAGTCAGATCAATGGCACGAAAACTCGTCCTGCGGGCAAGGAGAGCCTCCGGGTGCCTGGCTCTGCGCTGGCGAGGCACGGCGGGGCAGCGGGCCGCGGGAAGTAAGTATCACGGCACAGCCACCCACGCTGCCGGGAAACCGTAGAAACGGTTTACCTTGGGCATGCTTTTTTCTGTATTTGGAACACCCCACCGCTTCCAGAGGGTGTTTGGGGTGAGGAGAAATTTGGGAGTCGACCTTTTATGTCTTATCATTGGAGAGTTATACCTGAGTGTTGTAAATGGGGAAGATGTCTGTTCAGTCGAGACCACAGATGAGCGAGAGAACCACGTGTTATTCTCGGCGTACGAGTGAAGTTCTATTTGCCATTGTTCACAAATAAAAGATCTTTTTTTCCCCCTCTTACACTAACTTTTCCTTAGAGTGGCAGAAATAAAAAGTATTTAATGTGTTTGCATTTGTCCACGAGAGGTTTAAAGAAAAACACCCAAACCCCAATAAGCTGTTTGAGCCGCAGCAATCCCAGGTTACATAAAGGGGCCGGGGTTGCCGAGGGATTAGGCGGGGGCATTACTGGTGGGGATGAGCCCTCCAGGTTCTGCTCGCTCTTCCCTCACTTTTATTTTAGCAACAGTCACTCTGAGCCGTATTTTGAAAACTGCTTGGTGTTAATTTTCAAGGCTGTCAGGGTTAGATTCCCGCCAAAGAAAGAAGGAAGGAAAATTTAGATTTAAAGAACGCTCAGGTTTTTAAAAGCATCCAGTACTCTGATATTTTTTTTATCTCAGGGTCCCTATATGGGAGCTGAGTCGTTGAGAAGTGGACTACAGTTTTTCACTGCTGGGTCCTTCTGAAAACTCCTGCCTTGCTTTATTGGTGGCTTAGTTTATCCGTCTCAAAACCAGATTTAACAGTATTTTCAAAAGGCAGCTATTAAAAGCACTTCCAAGTTTTTAAATGCCTTTGAGGTCTGTCTCGGCGCTTAAGTGGACCTTTTTACCGGTGCTTTTTAGGATAAATAGTAAGTGTAAAAATAAATCTCTTCCTCTCCTAATTGTCAGGCAGAATAAAACTTAAAACTTGATCCCCTTCTACCTATTCATTTAATTCGGTGTGTTTATCCATCTTGCTTATCTTTGGATCATTCGCTCACAGCTTCCAGAGCAGCAACTGAAGGATGACAGAGGAACTACGTGCTAATTTTTATGTCAAAAATAGCTTTCACCTTTAAACGCGCAAGGCTCAATGACTGTTTTCTAATTAGAAAAAGAATGCCTGAGCTTCTGCTGCGAATCCATTTTACAGCTGTGCTTGGAGTTGACTGTCAGCCCCTGGTTAAAATTTAGTACTGAGGTCTTGACCTAGAAACAAACCTTTTTTGGTATTGGTTTGGAAAAAGTATTTCAGTGCTAAGAGAAACTGAGCCAGGCTGTCCAGCGAGCTCCCTCGTCACGGGCTGGCGAGGGCGTTACCGTCCCGTCGTTCGTCGTACGTTGCATCTCCCAAGTAAAGACCGCTGGGAAAGCCGGGCTTGTGATGTTTTAAAAATAATAATAGATTTTTTTTTGATTCTTCGGGTTTCTGGGCTAATTTGAGCCATTTTAAAAAGCCCTGGGTTTTTCTTTAAGGAAGCACAGATGCTTTTTGAAAACCAGACATTTGTAAAACGTTTCAGTGTGGGCATCTGAAATCACTGCTTGTATCAGAGTACAGACCTCTGCTTTCCTCGCAAAGCCTTTCCCATAGCTCCCTCCAAAATCAACCCATTTAGTAAAGAAACAAGGGGCATTTTCAGAATGTATGGCACCTTTTGTTTTTCAGAGAAGGCAGAAATACTCCGTTCACCTTGTCACTTAGCTGTTCTTGCCGGCTGTCAAGACCAAAACATTTGTATTCTGTGTTTTCTGTGCAAGGTTTGTTTTTCAGGGAATTATCAATTTAGTCGGAACTGGCTGAATTAAATTCACTATTTTAATTCTTCATAGTTGTGTA